GCCTGGTGAAAAATTATGGCAAGAATCCTTTCTCCTTTTACAGTGCAGCAGCTTTAAGAGCAAGACCATGTTTTAATGCAGCACCAGCAAAATAGACATCCAGACTTGGTTGAGGATAATATTAATATCAGGCAGTTGTTACTAACTCAGAAAAGCTGGAAAAAAAGTATTTTGGGTCAGAAAAATAGTTTTGTGCTCTCTGAATTCATGTCAGTGCCAATATAACTGGAGCCTTTTTATTTATTTATTAGCTGAGACCCACAAGGAAAACCACTTGTCAAAATCTTGCAGAAGCTGGCACTGCTCTGCCAAAAAGTTTCACTTCCCCAGCTGGCCTCTTTCCAATTAGAAATAATTAACTGAGAAAATCCCAGCCAGTTTCACAAGGGCTTTTTTTTTTCTTCCAGGATGCTACTAAAAAAAAAAAAACAACCAGCTGTGTGGCTCCCACAGACTCAGCTGGTGAAAAGCAGGTTTACTCCTGAACAGCTTCATCCCAAGGAGCAATGCTGCCTCACCTCCAGGGATGCACAGATTTGAGATATGAAGTTTGAGGCTAGGACAAGGTTGGCAAGAGGTGCCCATGCAAGGAAGGCTCCTGAGGCACTGCAGCTCCATCAAATGGTTTTGGGTAGCAGATCATATCAGGTCAGGGCCAGCAGCAGATGCTCTTCTTGCTGCAGAGCATTGAAGAGCTCCATTTCATCAACAGCTGACAGGTTATCAAAAAGCTGAGAGGTGTTAGGAGACACCTCACTGAAAGGCATGGTACTGAGATAACCCTCCTGGCACATCCATAAGCTAAGGCTGCCATCTGACCCGAAAAAGCAAGTGAACCTCTTCAGCTCTTGGCAAGTAGCTGGTTTTGGAGGGTGTCCATCAACGCCCAAGAGGCTTGTTTGAAGTTAATGCCAGCAGAGAAGAGCTGAGGAGATCCCTCTCACGTGGAAGGCTGAGTCCTTCCCAGGGCAGAGCTGCCCACAGAGCCCCCCACCAGTACCCAAGGGCTGTGATGCTAAGAGTGAGAGATGGGGAGTGCTCCCAGCTGGCAGACTTGGGGCTCAGAATAAGCATCCTGGTCCTCACCAACATCGAGTCTCCTCTCAGCAGCTCAGGCCGTGGGCAGGGCCAGCAGCATGGCCTGGATCCTGGGCTGGCATTGCTGCAGCAGCAGGAAGTTATAAGGGATAGGTGAGACAACAGGGCTAGGACAGGGGGCCCCAGGATGGGCTTCATCAGAAGCTGCCTGTGTCTAGGCTGGGGTGTTCAAAGTGCCAGCTGAGCCAGACCTCCATCCCAACACAGGCTCAACACATATCCCATTTATAGAGAAAACCCAAAGAATAAGCATTAAAATGAGGGGTTGGGGGGCAGGAGCATGTGGCAGGGGCTAAGACAGTGCTGTTGTGTGATGTTGGTTTGCCTCAGGTCACCCACAGCTTTAGAAGACGCTATAGCCATCACAGACAAACAATGCCACCTTTATGTTACTTGCAATATTTGTCTTTCATTAACAGATGAAAGAGTCTCACACTGAGCATCCACCTTGGAAGCAAACAGATCAGCGGAAGGATTTTGGTCTCCGTGTGTCTGGGGGTTGTATGGAGCAGGAGGGGATGATACCTACAGATGGATGTGAAGTTCATTTAATAACTGGGTAATATTTTACACACGCTGAAGTGTATTTTAAAGTGTACGTTACAAGTTTCCAAGTAAAATATTAAACACCAGTTGAAGCACATTGGAAGGGACATCTTTTCACACCAAGGGCTTTGATTTTTAAAATACTTTAATAAAACCATGCTGGTTTTACAGCTTTGAATCCTCCATCAGGTATGTTTGGAGTTGTAAGGCTACAGCCAACACCGGCAGCAGCAGCACTCCTGCAGCTGGCACTGACAGATAGGAGTTATCTCGCAGAAGTTTTTTCCCCCTTAATTAGTTTTGGCAAAGCTCCCACGGATTAGGCGTCTGGCGGGAAAGCCAAGCTTCTATCGATCCTTTTTCTTACAATCTCACTGAACAACACTTAAGGAGTCCCTTTCTACTCCCATTCCCAATAAACCCTAACAGGATGCAAACAAACGGAGCAGCAACTCTCACTTGCACCAACAC